TCTAAGCTCATTGTTTGCAAAGAGTGATATAGCCTGAGAGTTTAAACTCAGAAAAGAATGTAAAAGAAAATCAAAACTACTTTTGGTTTCCTACAGTTTTTTTTGGCAACATAAAGATTTGAGTTCTAGCTCAGTATATTTTGTGCCATTTTTTGGTGATAGAGTTATCAGATTACTTGCAGCCTTTTCACTTGCGTACCTCTGTACTGTATGTGCTTGAAAACTAAGGACTGTGTGTTTAGTTTGCTCTTGTTCTGAAAGTGGGAGTAGAAATTCTCAGAATGGATGTTTGACAATGCAGTGTACTAGTGGTCCCTATTTTCTGGGTTCTGAAGCAGCCTACTGCGTGTATGTTTTATTTTATTTTTGATAATGCTTTGAATTGAGAATAGTTTTTCAGATGTTGTCTGTAATGGCAAGTGTGCCAGATTCTCTTGATACTGATTTTCTTCTGGTAACTACTGCTGTTTTTCTTTTTAGTCTTTAAGATCTAAATTGGCCTTGCAGATATCTTTTCTAAATGTCTCTGTAAAATAATGGTTTTGGTTCAAAGCTTGATCACACTTTGCACATAATCAGCTTTTTTCATTGTGCCATCTTTACTTTCCACAGTGCATGTGTCCTATTCTCAGCTGCATGTGCCCTATTCTCAGCTGCTTTTTCTCCCTTTATGTAAATTGAGGCTTACTCCAATCTCAGATTGACCTGTGATGTTTCTAGGACATACTGGCTGAATTTTTAATGTTTTATTGTTCTGCGTCCCATCTATACATCTGTTATACTCCTTGCTTTCAGTTTGTTGTTTCTTTTGCTGTGGCACTTACCAAAGGACTCCATAAATCTTATGTGCTATACTGTGCTGATCAGAATATTCATATTGCTTTCTTGTGTTTTCTGACTGTGTCTGCCTGTACTTCCAGGGTTAGGTTGTCAATTGAGAGGAGGGAAGAAATTGGGGAGAATTTTTTTTCCCCTTGTATTTTCAGCAGCTATTGCAACAGGTTTCTGGTCTGTATCTTACGGATGCTGCCATAACAATACTACAATACTAATCCACTAACAGTGGCTGGTTGGGATCTGTTATGAGACATCAGTAGTTACTTTGCCTAGAAAAAAGGTGTCCAGTGATCACTGTATTGAGTCTCTCCATGAGGAAATTCATTATATTCAGTTCAGTCTACATAGGAAATAGTTACTTAATTTTGTTACTGTTTCATCCCTGAGACAAAACATTGGCTCCTTTAAAGCATCTTTAAACCTAAATAAAATAAACCACACAGAAACCCCAAACAACCAACCAATGTTTACTCAATTTCTTATAAATAAGTTAGGCTTAATGAAATGGAGTCAGAAACCTCCATCTTCTAAGACAGTGTATTTTATTAAGCTAGACAGATAAAAATCATAAAACAAACAACTTTGGCACAAGCTTTTAATTTCTGTTTGTTTTCTTTAGCATTAAAAACCCTTTACAGAAGGTTCCTGCTCATAACGGGTGCTATTTAGTCAGACAGTCAGCATCTTTCATTGGTTTGAGGGCCATGAGCTTTGCATCTTCTGCAAGGTCTGTTTGTTCGTTCGCAGGACAGGGCGTGGTCCCGTGATGCATCTGCTGAGAGGCTGTAGCACTTCCGTGCAAATTTAGTGGGGTATAAGCAACCTCCTGTCCTGGTTCCGTGTAAAAAGGGGTTCAGGGCAGGACCCACACGGAACAGAACTATGTACTCGCCTCTCCCCCCCCTTCCCAGAGAGAGAGAGAGAGAGAGAGATTTTGAAAAAAAATGAAGTATATTGTTTAACAAGGAACAAAAAATGAAAAAGGGGGGTAGGGAAAATAATATATACAAAGATTAGGGGAAAATACAAAAAAAAAATTAAGCAAAATATACAAAACCCTCAGAAATAGTTCCAAAGGTCCCACGGAGTGAAAGCACAACCTCCACCTCTGAGCTGCAAGGCAGGAGTGAAGTTAGCACCCACTCCCTGCCTCTTATCAGAGTGTGTGTGGGAAGGGGAGGGAATACAATGGTTTACCCCCACCCGGGGTCCTCCCAGTTGCTGGAAGGTCACGCCCCCATTCCAAGCCTCAAACCACAACACCTCCTGTTGGTCATGTGTCAGAAAAGCAATTTTTCTATCCACTGCAGTAGTATCAAACTACTTTCATTTTCGCTTTTTGAAGGATTTTGATTTTGTAACTGTGCATTTACAGTTTATTTTTTATTTACAGCTTGCAATAACTATTCAAGAGGAGGCCGCTTGTGCCAGTTTTAGCATGTTACAGTCGTAATGTTCTGTAGCTCTACAGCTTCTTTATTTAAGGGACTCACAGGCATTTTGATCATTCTAGCTGCACAGCATCTATTGTTGGTAAACACTGTTATTCCTCATTTTCTTCCGAGCAAACAGAATTGTGAGTAGCTTGAAGTATACAGAATTGTGAATGATGACGGAAATTTCTGCAGCATCAGTGGAGGTTAGACCTTCTCCCTCATAAACATTGCAAGTAGTGATCATTGTGACACTTACAGTAGAAGGGGGCCCTAACAACTCACAGACAATAACAATAGATGTACAGGCAGCCCTTTTGAATCAAAACTTCCTTTTGCTAACAGAGTGAGTCTTTTTGAAGAGCTAATCTGCAAGAAAGCATCTGTGTGGGAGGAAGTTGTTGGACCATTTGGTGTAATGGTCATGAAGTCTCACGAGTTCTTTTTCCCCAATTAAAAGTAGCAGCAAACCAGCTTGAGCAGTGAATGCAGTGGGTCTGCAACTTGATTGTTAAAATTCTATGTGGATCCTCTTGTTAACAGGTAAAGTGATCTCTGTTCATGGTAGCTTGGTCTTCCTTTGAGGAGGAGGAAGAGCTTTCGTGCTTAAACCACAGTCCAATTCTCACTGTGTAATTTACAGAGACAGTTTAAGGTAGTATGAACTGTCTGTTACTCAGCTTGCATCTCTACTAAGAAATCAGAGCCAAGTCACCTATGTAAGCAGCCATGGCTAGTAACAGACCACAGCAGGAGCCTTTGCACTGAGGGTGATCAGGAGTGCTAGGGCAATTTGTCCCACTCCCTGAGCTGGGCTCTGAGCTGGGCTGTGCGAGCAAGCCCCTGCAGCTGGGGTCAGACTGCAGCCTAAGGCGGATGTTCAGGTATTGCAGCTGGCAGCTGCCTGGCTATTAAATATGACATCTGCTGCGTGTGGTTGGTAGTGTATTTTCTGCTCCATGAATAAAACCTTCAAAGCAGATGAAAGCAGTGGCTGCTTAACCGTGTTGTCTGCTATAATGGATATTGTAATGGCAAGATTGTTGTATATATGCTTGCTTTAGCAAACAGTTTAGAGAAATCCAAATGCAGTGAAGTGTGATGACAGGCCAGTACTGATAGCACTGAGGTCAGCTCTCACTGTGCACATAGAAAAGTATTGATTTGTTGCAGTGACTTTTGCTGGGAGTAAGCCTTGCTCAACATCCAACTGGCAAATAAAACTAATCTTTGATAAATACAAGCAGATAGAAGAAGTGAAAGAGCAAACTGGAAAATTATCTGATCTTTGATCCATACAAACAGATCTGAGTTTGTGCATCACACAGTTCTTAAAATTTTACCCGGCTAGTATAGTGAGGTAATTAAGCAGCAAATGTAGGTCTCAAGCTCACTACAGCATGCTTGAGAAGAGCTGGCTAGTCTAGTGGAAGCCTCAACAGTCAGTATTTGAATCGTCTTTTTAAAAAAGCAGGATCATTAGAAGCTGCGGGGGGAAAAGTAGAAGATAGTTCTGCAGGTTTTCTTACAAAAGGTGCTGCATTGCTGAGGAAATAATGGCCGCTGGCTGAGCTGTCGTTAAGGAAGGTAGGAATTGTTAAGCGTTTGTAAGCTCCCTCGTCCCTGTGTGCACAAATGGGAGGTGAGCAGTCCGAAGAGACTGACTCGTAACGTCTTCCCCTCTCTGTTCCCATCCTTTCGCACTCTAGTGAGAAAACTACAATACTTTCTTCCTAGCATCCTTCCGCAGATGTTAGATACTGCACGTGTGAGTTTATCTTGTTGTCTGCCTGCATCTCACCCGTTCCGTTCCGTTCGTCTCTTCGTTGCTTTCCCGGAAGTGGGGACTCGGTGCCGCGGGCCCTCTGCTGGCGCTCCCCCTGTGCCTCAGGCTGCGCTGGCGCGCTCTGCCTCTAGCTGGGCTCGCTTCAGCCCGACTCCGGTGAACGTCTGAACTACTTTAACCTTCCTGCGCCTCGTTGCTTGTTTCTAAATATTATTTACTGTGAGAAGGAATACTTGCGTTGACGGGCACACGTGGGAGTTCGGCACCTCTGGCAGCGAGCTCCCCTCCTCGATAGCCAGGGCTGGGTGCAGACGAAGCGTTTGCTGTGGAGCCCCTGCGGCACCTGGCGATGTGGGGCCGCTGGAGCCTCCACCGGCCGGCTCAGACCCGAGCACGGACCCAGGCGCGCTTGGAGCTGCGGGGGGACCAGCCGCAGAAGCGTTTCCTCTGCTGACCCGTCTCCCCAGATTGGCTCTGTGTGCGCTGCCGAGCGTCGCGGGGTGACGCAGAGCTGCTCCGAGGCGGGAAGGTGCCGAGCGGGAGTGCCCCGCTTGCGCAGGGAGCAAGCGAGTCAGACGCGGGGGCAATCCAGAGCTCTTTTCTTCTGGTGCTGGCTCTTCGGGTTTGGTGTTACTGTAAAAGCTCTGTGTGCCTCTTAGAAAAGCATCTGAAAAGGGAGGAGGATGGCGTCGCTGGTTTGAGGCGAGTCCTGCCTGAGATTTTAACGCTTTCCTCACCGCCACACTCAACTCAGCCCTTGCAAAGATTTCCCAGTGCTGCGTCCTTCCTCATTGGACAGGTACAGTCAAAGCCAGTTCAATGCAGGCTTGGGGATTCTTTCAGCACCTTCACGGAGTATACGTGCTCTAAATGCCTACAGTACAGAGCGATCCAGCTACTCCTAATGGGATGCATTTGCATAGAGGAAGAATTCCTCATTTAAGATGGGTAATAAGCAGACGATATTTACTGATGAACAGCTCGATGCCTACCAGGTAAGATATCTTCATTTGCATTAGAAGAAGGAAGTTAGTAATCTTCATATGTTTGTGTGGTGTAGGGTTTTTGTTTTGTTTTGGGAAGTTTTTTGCAAATATAAATGAAAACTTTGTTTGTAGCCTGCACACATATATTCTGGTGGGGTTTTTTTTGTTTGGTTGGTTTTTTTCCCCTAGCAATTGCAATAGTATTCTAAGGCTGGGTTGTTGAATATACCCAAAATAATACTCTTGCCTGTATATAGGGAAAGGAGTCAAATCTTCAATGTCTGGACTAGGAGGCGAGACAAAGACTGTGACTAGCGTGACAATGGGTGGTTTTAGTAGAATTTTTCTGCTGGTTGTTTTGTAAAGAGGAAAGTGTAGCAATAATCTCATTATCTTCCCTATTCCTTTGCTGTGAATAGAGGATAAGGGAGAAAAAGAAACAATTCTCTGTATTTTCACTTCTCCTAAGGATAAGTCAGAGAGATACGCTTAATGTAATTCCAGAGTAGTTGTCCGTATGCTTGCATCCACTCCTGGGTGGCAATTCCTTACTTTGACAGAAAAAAAAGTATGCATTTTATATCCAGAGATAGCTTGTTGGTATTTACTTCACATTGCATGGACTGAGTTTTTAATAGTGTAAAAAAATCCCAGATTTCAGTTATGTTTCAGCACACTGCAAATCTTGCTGAAATGGATTGCAGGAAGCTATCTACACAGTGGGCATCTTGAACAAATTTCTGAAAGTGTAGTGAGGCAATACATTGAAGAGTGCTGAAGGAAGAGGAGGCGGCAGCTGACTACTTACTACGAGATGCAGGCAGGGCTGGCTGCATTGCTCTGTTCCCTTACAGGGAGCCATAAACAGAATCAACAGTGCAGGAAATGAACGCTTACTTGATCTCGTGATAACCAAGGGACAAATCCAGTGCACACAAGATAAATAACCTAATTTTTACCCTCAGGTTCTTTGATTCAAGCGCTTGAAGTAGAAACTATGATTTTAAATAATAATTTTCTTTGGAGTTGCTGCTAACATGGACTTTTCTCAGGGGTAGATACTTAGCCATGGAGTCAGGCTACGAAGACATGCTAAAATGCTTTAAAATGTTATCTGATGCTGAAAATAGAAGATAAACTAAATGCTCTTATTAAATTCCTAGGCTTTTTCTTGTCATTGTAGGAAATGTGTGACAAAGTAAAAATTAAAGAAGCTTCATTTTCACATCTCACTCTCACCAGGAGTCTCTCACTGTAATATATTAAAGTTAGCAGTCTTAGATTTATTAGTCTAAGATCCAGAAATGCTTTTCTGACATCCTGGCTCGATAAGCAAGAGGGAAATCAAAGATCTGTAAAACACCAATGTCTGTCTTCCTACTACCAATAAAAGTGAACACAGAACAGAGCCCATCTGCAGTAAAAGAAAACAAAATCCAAATGTAATTAATGTTATCTTCTTGGTATAAACTGGCGAATGCAAGAGCTGAAATGTCATCCCTAATTCACTGCTCTTCATGCAGAAATTGCCTTTCTCTAATGGCTTTTGCAGCCCCAGCCTTTCATAATGTGGGATAATTGATCTCAAAGCCTGGCAGTTGCTAGGCCCAGTGGATTGAATCAGACTAGGGGATTTTTTCTGTTACATGTGGACTTGTAGTTTATTAGTACAGTGCTAGATAATTTTTGACTAGTAGTAGCACCTTCTAATTATGGCGAGTACAGTAAAATCACAAGTTTCTGAGCAATCACTAACAGAATTTGTCAGGAAGGAGTATTTGCTCATGCTGTGAACAATCAAAGTCCTCATTTTGATGATGATTTGCTCTGATCCATTAGTTGCATTCCTCTTGGATCTTTTTGAACAGAGAAATTCTGGGCTTACTGCTGTCATCATCCATCCAGTGAGCTCTTTCGTCTCGACTGCATTCTGGAGGAATATGCGGGAGCTGTTTGACCTGGAGTTTGCCATCTTACCTGCATTTTTCGCTTGTGTGGAATGCCTTCAGAACAGAAAAGGGAAGAATGGGAAATGGTTCTATAATATTAAAAACAAAAGTTTTTAATTTCTTGAACCAGGGTGACCAGGTCCTCTGATGCTGGACCGAAGTAAAACCCTTTGTACCAGGGTCTTTGACAGTCTGTTGTGTACATCTGTACCACAGTGTACAGCCAGGCATATACATGTAAATTGCTTTTAAAATGAATCATTGATTAATCTCTCAGGAGTAAAGATAAAGCTGCAGGACAACTACCTGCTTGGAGAGCTAGCATACGTAAATCTCAGATCATTATTATGATATTAAGGAAATAAAATAACCTCATGTGATTTGTCTAAAACTTTCTGAAATGCCCATGTATAAACTTCTTTTGCATATAAACTGTCATACTGAGAAGTCACTTTAGCAGAACCTTTACATTTAAACGACATAACTGTAAATCTGGTCACCCACAAGATGACCTCAGTGTTTTTAATAGATGCGTTTTAAAAAATACTCTTAATACAGATGATGTGTGGCCCGCTGAAATGGTAAAAAAAAAAATGTGTAATAGGACTCAGTAATATTAAACTTCACATAGCTTTTTTTAAAATTCAAAATGGGTAGAGGCACATTAAAGAAAGACTGGGAAGCTGCAAATCTCCTAACACCTTGTCATATCGCTTGTTATTAAGATCATATAATCTGTTATTAAGATTGTGTTCCAGTTGGCAGCTCTTTAAATTTTCATAAGCTTAGTGAAATGTCTTGACAATTAGGCTTTTGCAAACATGGGTTTCCTCATTGAGATTCGCCTCGTTTCAAAAGTTAGCCTTGCAAGAAAATGCATTCTGCTAGGGAGTGCTTGACTGTTTGGTTGTGGGGTTTTTGTGGATTACTCATTTTGCTTGTTTGTGTTTTTTTCAATTCATGGTAAGTATTAATCACCAAGAAAGATGTATTTCTTTGCAATCAAACATTTTAAAATTAAGCTTTTAGAAGTTGTCTACAGATTTTGGAGGTCAAGTCGTACTGAGAAAAGAAAAGGAACAGCAATTTAGGTTTTTTTGAGTGATGCTATTTAAAGATACTTGAAGCAGTAGAAAATACAGGTGTGCTATAAAGCAACATGAGAGCTGTGTTTTGGCTCAGGACACTGCATTTCTCACTGAGGAACAATTATACCCAGTAGGAAACACACAGAAGCTCTGCTTGCGGTATGGACAAAGTAGTGTACTGTTCAGTCTATGTCACTGCCTTTTCTAGGGTTACTCTAAGTGGTCTCAATTTGACACCAATTTGATTCCATTTTTTTCCTAATAGAATCTAGACAATATAAAGCATAACTATTTTATATCAGATATGACCAGTTTTATTTCTTTTGTATGTGTTCATTCATGGGATTATTTGTATTATCTACTGCAGCCTCAAAACAAACTGATGTTTATCCTGGGGGTTTTCTAGGCAATATTGCAATAAGAGATAGTAATATGAAAGAATTACTTGCTTCTTCTGCACAAGAGTTTGTCCATTCCAGAACTATTTTTTTTTCCTTTTATTAGAATTCTGGTCAAAGTGGAATTCAGCTATATTTTGTGAGAGTTCTGCAAAACCAGATTAAACAAGTTATGTTATCATCTGTCAAGAAATGCCATTTACAAAACGTGAAACTAGGTCATCAAGCTATCTTTTGATTTAAAATGTTATGCTTGACTTAATCAGAATCTCTGATGAAAACGAACCCATTGCAAGACTACAAAATGTGTATTCATCACAGGTTTCTCAGGACCTTCTGTAAAAACTGTTTTTCAGTTTGGTGTAGAGTACTGCTGTTAATGTGCAAATTTAAGTAGCATCATAATGTTACGAGGCTCTTGTGAAATTATCCTTTAGTCAGATTCTGGTTTCATGTTGCTGTTTGGTGCATATATGGATTGAGCAAAATTAATTTATTGATTGTTTGCTTCTTCCTCAGTCCTTGCTGATGTTTAACTGTTTCTACTCCCATGTTGCAGTCTAAGTATACAAACTGGTTCTTAAAGCTGCAGCTTTTTCCTCCTGAAACACTGTAGTTAGGTTGTGCTGGCTGTAATTCTAAAATATATGTGGTTATAAATAAAGATAGGCTGGATGTTAAAATCTCCACTGGCCTTCTAATTCAAATGGCATTTTTAATGATAAAAGTCTGCATAAAATTACTATTATTATTGCAGATATTAACTTTGACTGGATTTTTTTTGGTATTTGAATCCAGATTCACTGAAGTGCTTGCACAGCTATGCAACTTAGACTGGTGCTAGTCTCATCGACTCCCAGTAACTCTTTATGTATTTGTAGTGATGAAAATATGTAAATATCTTCCTGACTCAGTCTTGCACAAATTCTATAACTATCTCAGTTGTATGGCAGCTAGAATAAAAGAATAAAGTTTAATAATAGATCTTATATGAAAATTAGTATACTTCTATCCAGTACCTTTTAATTTTGTTTTTTAGTTACTTCATCAGGTGATGATTTTTATGGTGACGAAACTTTCTTACAAAACTTGTTCACTTTTGGCACAGTACAAAAGACTATTTGTGATTTAAAAAATGAAACCTCTGGAAGAATTTGCTTGAAATGTTAATATTTAAAATGTTGCAGCATTCAGTACTTTTCATTTATTTAAGGTTGCTCAGGAAGACAGCTGTGTCAATTTAACCTGCCTTGACTTGAGGATATTATTAAAATTCCTGCCAGTTCGTCATTGGTTTATCTGTGGTGTGCTGGCTTTTGTTTGAGACTGAAGTGATTTTGTATTGCAATGACTATTTTATATTATTTCCTGTTTCTAAACCTTTCCAATGGAGCTGTTGCAGAATCAGAATAAACCTGCCCTTACTAAACTATGCATATAAAAGGCAGAATTAGATACCTGTTCTCTTAGAGGAGAAATAAACATTTAATAGATTTTAGAAATAGTATTCCACAGTATGCTTTTTTTAAAAGCATACTTGACAATTGCTCTTGTTTCATTCCGATGTTCTTTTCTCCAATTTTCCTTCTCCTCTTTTCTGTAGGTGTTTTGCTTATCTGTGTGAAATTAGTTTTCATTTGGTCTATTAGTTTTGGTTGTTTTTTTCTTTTTTCTTTTTAAACTGCTTTATGATACCTGCTTCTAAAAGTGGTAAGTGATAATCTTTCATTCAGTGGACTCTGTCATTCATAAACTGCACTGCGCTCTGGTATTGGCAGTAGGTCCAGCAGAACAAATGACTTGTGGTCTGTTTCTAGAGCCATATCTCATGCTATGCTGTGTATATACATTTTACATAAAGTTAAGTATCACCATTCTCAGCACAGTTGTATCTATTCCTGGTTTTTGTTCAAATCTCCATAGAACACAGAACTGCTGTAGGAGATTGCAGTAAAATCTTACAGACTAGTGGAAAAGATAGAGGAGCACCATGTTTCAGTCTGTTCCCATTTTGTTCTAGATCTGCATTCACCTGGCATAAGAAATCATAGTAAAACTCTTCACAACCTGTATATTCTGAACTTTTATAAGGTAGACCTTAAGCAAAAGCCACTAACCCAACTTTACAAGCAATGTTGAGTGACTTGCAGAAAGTCCCACTCCCAGCCAAGAGTAAAGCTACTCGGAGAAAATAAGTACACCATCTGACTGTTTTCTCTGCAAAATATTTTAAGAACCAGTTAAGCTACTTAAATGCCAGATTTGAGAACCAAGTCCCATTATATGAGCTACTGATCTCATTGAAATGAAAGGGAAATTTTCAGCTTGCTTTATTTTATTCTATTCACTTTGCTAGCTGCAAGGAAGGTAAGTGGATATTTGCAGATTTAAGTGATAGCTTGCCTCCAAAAAAACAGGAGTGATCCTTTGTCAGACTTCTAATTAACTTGAATATTAAGAGCACGGATGGAATGGGGTAGTTGATCTTAGAAAAGGAGCACATATTTTCTCAGGTGCTTGACTAGGTACCCTTTCAAGGCAAATCCTCTAGTTTAGATAACCTAAAACCAACAAAGGGCCTCCTGTTAGCAGTTTTCCAGGCCATTGTGTAGTGTTAGAAATAAAAGCAATTATTCTTAGGATAAATTCTTGCCAGAAATCTTGAATTGCTAAGAATTACGTAAACTTTGGTGGCATTGTTTTTGTTCAGTGTTGAGTTTGTGCTTTTCTAGCAGGATTCTCAGGGGCTTTAGTGTCCAGACAGAAGAAATAGGTTGCTTTTCAAGTTCATAATAAACTCAAATACAGTCTGTATAATAGCAAGATAATAGTCCATATAATAACATGGCTTTCCATGATATCTCTGACTTGAAGCAAGATGAATGCCATTATATGCATAAATGACAAATGTTTTCCAGGACCCACTTCAACTTTCCGTATGAGGGAGTTTATTTAACTTGTTAGTTTACTATTTATTGCCCATCATTGTGTATTCTCCATATGAATGAAGTATCCAGAAGAAAACTGGATGATTCACCTCCGTGTTTCTTTGGCCAAAGGTCTTTAATTAAATTGGAATTAAATTGCTGGAGTTCAAGCAACTATGAAATGTAATTATGTTATTTAGACCCCTTGTTCCATCATAACTGATCCATCTTAGGGCTGTGCTTTCAGAAAAAAAAAACAAAAACCAAACAAGCAACACAACACCAAAAAACCAAACCAACCAAAAAATCACCTAGCCCCTTGCCCCATTAGGAAAAAAAAAAAAAAAAGCAGAGAAGCAAAGAGATGGCTGGACTTCATTTTCGGAGATAGCTTGGAGCCATGGCTTTTACATCTGCCATTTGAGACCAGGCAGGCTTGCCAACAGTAAAGCATCTCCTAAGTGGTGTCTGTGAGCTTGCTGTGGATCAGAAGCATAGGCCAGTTCACAATTAATTTGTGATGCTCTGACCGTGAGTAGTTTTAGGATCTCTGCAAGTGGTCTGTGAAACCACTGTAAGTTTTTGTTTCGGGTGTTTTTTTGACACCACTCATCCCTGACACAGTTCTCTTTAATTGCAGGCATAACTGGAATACTGCAGTCAGTTACAGTGGTCAAGCAGATAGTTCCCACTACTTTTGTTAAAAAGGTTTTCAATACCAGTAGTTTTTAGATTACATAAGTAAAAATTTTGTTTGATTAAAAAGAAAAGGCAGACAGTAGTGTTTGTTGTCAAAGACATGAGGTGACTCAGATTAAAACAAACAAACCAACAAATGTAGGTGGACCTTTTGCAAAAGGGGCTTATGGTCCGACCTCTTAGTGGGTCTTCCAATGGTATTTTTGCCTGATTTCTGGAAGGTAAAGAGTACCTTTTCCTTTGTGTCTTTCATCTCCATTTGCCTACCAATTCCCTGTCAGCTTTGTAGTTAAGTAACAGTGTCTGCTGTTTTCTTAAGCCTATATAATTACGGGATGATTGCTGCTGAGGGCATTACAATTATTTGTGAGATTGCACCTGCCTTTCCTTAGTAAGTGAAGCATCCTTAAGTGACAGTTTGACTGTAAGTGTTGAATGTGCTGGAATTAATGAAGAGTTAACCAGCTGGCTCCTATTTCACTTTGTGCAGTTCCAGACAATGTGACATCAGTGTCAGCAGCTCACAAGGTGCTTCCTATTGTGCCTTGTAACACTATTCTGCTACACAATAGCTTCTCCTGCCACTTTATATGGAGGAGAGCAAGCAAACTCAATAATTGATACTGGGCAGGACTGGTAGCATACCTGGATACCTGAGACAAGCTGCTTGACTGCTTCAGCTAGCTGTGATCATTTGCTTTCCCCCTCCTTGGAAGAAGTGGGCATTTAGCCAAAAAGATGTTCAGCTTAGGAAGGAAATGGTTTTTCACTAGTGGACTGAAGAGCAGGGCTGGGGGAGTCATGCTACCTCTATGTACTCCGAAGTATAATTTACAAATCCCTTGTTACCCTGTCACTAGCCAATTTACAAACTGGGTCTGTTTAACATATGTTTACATCAAAGGAGGAAAACTACTAAGAGCTGAATTCTTAAGCAAATGGCTTGCCATATCACATGGGAGAGAGATGGATAATCAGTAAGAATTTTGTGGTTTTGTTGTTCCTCCCTGTATATACACCCTCATCAGCCGCCAGCTCCAAGACAAGATGATGCGTGTTCTCTGAGCTTATGGCCTGAATTAAATGGATTATCCAATATTTCATTGCCTCCAGTGTTCTTAGTTTTGCATGCAATGTGGAATTTGCCCCAAATATATTAGAAAAGGTAGTGGGGATCAGGGAAAATTTCTGTTCATGGGATGAGACTGAATATCATGGTTCCTCAAAGCATCTGAAAATATCACTTGTTTTGTAACTGATGCAGAAACACATGAGATGCAAACCATTTCTATGCTTCTGTTATGGTTCTTCTGGGAAGTGTGTGAGTTCTAACAAAAGGCAGCTGTTGGTATAGAGTGAATCGAAGCAGTCTAAGTGCAGTCCCACTACAGAGCCAGTCAGAGTGCAGGTTAATGCTCTCTCATGTTCAGCCAGCTCTACTTCGCATTCTAATAAGAATTATTTCAAGTTCCATGATAGCACAGGGAAAGTTGAATAGTTTGCCAGCTGTTTGGAGCAGGGACTGTCCTTTTAGCCATGTTCCTCATGCATGGGAGTTTGCAGCCTTTGCCAAAGTGACCACAGTGCGAAGTAATTCTTAGTGAAAAGAGTTAATCAGTACATGACTTTCATTATTAAAACAGTTGTCTGTAATTGAGGAATACTCCAAATTAGAAGATAGTTGTCTTCATTTATTTGTTGTTTATAGCTTTCTAGATCCCTTTATTGTTTTTGTCTTTTTTCTTTTTTGATTTAGTTTTGTTTCTGGTCATTCCACAGTGGAGATGTATTTGAGCAAGGTGTTTTGTTGTTGTTTTCTGATAGCTCTGTCCTTAGGGTATTTCAGTTATTTTATAGCATATATTGTTTTGTGAGTCAGAACCAGATGGTACACAGATGGTATCTTTAATGTTTTTTTCTGCTAGATCTGAGTTTCCTTCTAAAAGATTGAAAAATAATTCTTTGCAGTTATTTTCAGTATTTCTGTAGTAAAATAACACATTTTGTTTTTCACAGGATTGCACATTCTTCACTCGGAAGGAAATCCTTCGGTAAGTGAATTGCGTTACATCTTTTCTTTATTTGTATGATAGGGACTAAGTTTTTTTTTTTTGGCTTGCAAGGAAACTAAATAAAGCCAATTATTTTGCATTAATGAACGAGTGTAGGATTGGACTCAAGATACACTTATAATATGTAAATGTGTATAAGGGGACAGATGGTGTTCAGCTTAATGTCAAGATGATAGGCTTTTCTGGGCATAAGTCATTGAAGAGTTGAGAGCCAGTGGCTTTTTATGAAAGGAATTTGATGCTTTTCTGATCAATTATACTAATGAGGGCACATCCTTCAGTCAGCACAGGTCAGGTTTTGATATGGACTCAAGTGTGGGGAAACATGGTGGAACTTGAACTACAGAGCACCAAGAACATTTCTTTCTGTACAAACTTTC